CGGCGTCGTGGTGCACTTGATTGACATGCGTATCAGGTGGGCCCAAGGGCTCTTTGTGAAGTCAAAGGAGCCGGGTGATGTTCTTCCTGCTATCACTCATATCTGGTTTCGAGTCCACGGCCCTTCGAAGTTTATCACCTCAGATCAGGAAGGAGCTTTGTTCTCGGACGAAGGAGCTATCTGGGCAGATCGATGGAAGGTGGATCTGAGGCCGAAGCCCAAGGGAGCCCATGCTCATGTTATCGCAAAGAGAAATGACTTACTCAGGACACAGTATCACCGAGTTCGAAGTCAGGCCAATGAGGAAGGCATTAGAGTTTCGAAGGAAGAGTTGCTGGGCGAATCTTTGTTGGCTATGAACACCCTCTTGAGCATTCACGGGACCACGCCATATGCTGCTCTGTATGGTCGAGTTCCGAGCATTCTACTGGAGCTCGGGGGTGGAGGATCCGAGTTCGACGACGAGTCTGGGGGCGCCGTGTCTCGTCATGTTCATAAAGTCAGGGAACTGGCTCTCGCCAACATCGTGCAGGGCAACGCTCAGGAAAGACTGAAGATAGCAGCTCGGGCGCGAACGAGACCAGCGGCTCAGCTCGGAGATCTTCGTGCAGGAGACTCGGTCGACATCTTCAGGGACCCGCCGAACAAGGATGTCGCCAGCTGGCGAGGGCCCTGCATGGTAGTCTCTATGGATCGAGCTGACGAGGGCATCATTGATGTCCGATGGCAGGGTCGCACGTTACCGTGCCGCCCAGCAGATGTTCGACGGGCGGTGGCATGGTTGACTCTCATGGTGGCTCCTGGCCGCGGTGACACCAAGCCGTGCCAGATCTTAGTATACTATGTGGAGAACATGGCGGCGGGCACTACGTTACTCTTGGGATATGAGATCGGCGAAGATGGACGCTGGAGGATGACGAAGACCAGCCGTCGGCTGCCTACACTGACGACGGCAGCTTTTCACGTGGCCGCCTGTGACTTTCAGCTATACGGAGTTGTGGCCACGAGACTAGGATATGGTTCGCGAGAGATTCCAGCTGCTCAAGGGCATCACACTTGTATGATCGTATGGTGGCGTCTGGGTGAATCGATTGGCTATCGCCGCGCAAGTTTCGATCCTCGAGCGAAGGCGAGTACCCAACACCTGATGGGGCCAGACTTTGGACGCGTGTGCTGGGTGCTTTTTTTGATGGCTGAAATTTCTACAGCCGAGGTCTTGCGGCAGATTGACGTTCACATGCCACACGTGGGAGGTCCTCAACAGATGCCCGACTTCCCCGCGCCACGAGGTCAAGTGCGGCCTCGTGATCCTCATGAGGTGGAAGAACGACCGGATCGATGGCATCGCTGGCCCACCCCAGAGGCCACCATCGACGAGGAGTCAGAGGCGTCCGAACCTCAGGCTCAGGGTGTGGTTCATCCACGAGATGCGGAGGCGGACCCTCGACTGCTAAGACCGACGTGGCGACCTTTTCAGCAGCCCTATCGGATAGAGCCAGACGTCAACTCCGACGTAGTTGGAACCCTGGGATCCAGGATGGATGCAACACGTGAGGACAGAGTTCAGCTTCTTTCACGCTATTCTTGACAGCCAATCACCACCGGACGCTGAGTACTGGTTGGATTCTCGAGTGTTGGAAGCTGTCGAGGTGGCTACCTATCTGGAGAACCCAAAGAAGGAGATGCATGTTCTGGAGGTGGAGTTTGGCTCGGAGATCTCCAGGCTTGTGGTTATAACCACTGATGAACACAAGTTGCCCAAGTCCGAGATCTTCTCCTTGTTTGCAGAAGATGGGGGCCATCGTGTGATTTTGTCCGTCAACTCGACGGGGAAGACCAATATGGTTATTGAACGAAAGGCCGACGAGCTCAACAGGGACGACCTGATCAAGCATCGGGTGGAAGTGGAAAAGGCGATGTCGAAGGAGCTGGGCAACTGGATCGAACTGGGTGCACTCAAGCAACGAAGCAGGCGAGGGTGTACCAACTTGATGCACTCAAGATGGGTGATCCGTTGGAAGAAGCAACCAGACGGTCAGTTGGCAGTCAAGGCACGGCTGTGCATCAAGGGTCAAGGATCTACAGCAGGATCGTCTGGGCACCTTCAGCGCGACCGCCTCGAGACAAAGTCAGAGGATGGTGAATTTCATTGCGGGGAGTCGTCCCAAGTGGGTGTTGTGGTCGTGTGAAGTGGGCAGCGCTTTTCTGAAGGGACTTACGTTTCAAGATGTGGCCGATATGACAGAGGAGCCCCTCAGAACTGTTCAGTTGGACCTGCCCAAGGACACGGTGAAGATCGCAAGGGAGTTTGAACAATTATCTAACTACGACGTGGACGTGAGTCAGCACTGCTTAAAGATGGTGCGTCCTGGTTTCGGTCTCAAGGATGCGCCGAGCTTATGGCATCTCAGGCTAAAGCAGGTAATGACTAAGCTGCAACTCTTGTCGTTGGTTACGGATTCACAGTTCTATTGCAAGTGGGCTGGATCTCGATGCAAGCCTGTACCTCGAGAGCTGGTGCCCACGAACGTGGATGAGGACAAGGCCCGAGGGGCCGACGTGCTGTTCACCGACCCGCAGGTAGCGATCGAGGACTTGCAGATGGTGTGCAGTACACATGTGGACGACCTCAAGGGCGCTTCGACCGAATCGATTGCTGATGCATTCATGGATGCTCTCGGGTCGGAGTTTGGGGAGCTCACAAGGCAAAAGAGCAGGTTCGAGCACTGCGGCGTTGTTCATGATCAACATGAGGACGGATCCGCGTGGTGCTCTCAGGATCACTACGCGGCGCAGCTTCGGCCGATGCAGGTAGACAAAATTCGAGCTGATGACGAACCTCTCGATTCTCAAGGCCGAACTTCATTTTGGTCACTCTTGGGTGGAGCGGCCTGGATGCTAGTCACTCGAGCGGATGTTGCAGTACATATTGGATACCTACAACGCCATGCTCACGAACCTTGCTGGAAACATGTTCGACACTTGAACTCAGTTGTACGATGGATCAAGAGAAAGAAGAGTTCGCTTGTCTACTATGCAGTACCTTTGCCATGGAGTGTGGTGGGTTTCCCTGATCGTGCTTTCCGTGCGACCGAGCCGGACTGTCTGGCCGTCAGAGCGGCAGTCATTGCGAGTGCTGGTCAGGACTTCCTGCCGACAGGAGGATTGTGTGCGACAGTGGAGTTCTATTCACGAAAGCAGCCCCGGGTATGTCGTTCTACTTTCTCGGCAGAGCTGACGAGCGTCGATGACGGCATCAGCAATGCGTTGTTGGCCCAAGTGATGGTATGTGAGATTGTTCATTGTCCCCTCACGGCGAAGCAAATTCAACGATGCATGGACGCTGGAAGGCTGCCAGTCGACCTACATGTGTGTACGGACAGCAAAGGCCTATTCACGGCGCTGGGTGCGACGGAGTTGAAAGCACCAGCGGAACCACATCTTTTGTACCTGCTGCGTGCTCTACGTGATAGACTGGAAGCTGGGACTCTACACAAACTTTGGTGGGTGGACACTCGAGCGATGATCTGTGATGCATTGACCAAAGAGGGATTGGCTCGAGAACCTATATTTCAGTTGTGGGAGACGGCAGTATTGATGATGACCGGAGATGAGCCCCTGGCATTGTGCTTACGGGGCCCTCGCGGAGATACAAGTGAGTTGGAAGATAAGTGAATCGTGATATCTGGATTTCGATGATGAATGGCGTGTTTGTTTATTACGATTTGACTACAGTATTTTTGCGAGGAGGTTTTCTCTATCCTCATCCTGGCCCACACTGGTGTGGACCGTATATATACCGCCTGTGCGAGATTTGTTATTTATCGTTCTCTTTCTCCCTTCGTAATGCTTTTATTCCCACGATTGTAATGTGTGGTGATTCTTCCAGTGCCGTGGTGCCGAGAGCAGCCTCGGATGTTGTTCCTTGGAAGATGATTTCAGTTGTTCCCCTTTTTAGCCTCTGGAGTCCCCGCGATGTGTTTTGGGAGCTCTAACATAAAACGTTGTTTTTTTGGCAGTTTGCCTATCAGAGGTCGGCTGCCAGTGGCGGGTCAGCCGCGACTAATGATCTGTTGTGCTTTCAGTGCGTGTGTGGAATCAACTCGTAGATTTTCGCTGCGTTTCCCCATCCCGAGTTGATGTGTAGATATCCTCCCGAGATGCGGGAGGGGCAGACAGGATTGCACAGCAAAAAGCAATAAGGTAGTAGTGTGTATAGCGGACGAGGTGGCTCCGACGCCACCTTGGCTCAAGCCGGATTGGTGCGAAGCCGGGCTCAATGCCCGTGCGTAGCCTAGCCGCGGCGGCCAGCCTCACCCCGTCATTCCATATCTGATAATCAAGATTATCACAACGACGACGATCTCCAAGATCCTCTCCATCTTCGTGGCCCTCCGGGCCGGCTGGGCCCTCAGGACCAGCCCCGTTGTTTCACTGCAGTCGGCGGGCGCGCCGACAGACGAGCTGTATCCTCAGGAGGCGTTGCCCTGGGAGGGTGCGCAGGAGCAAAACAACTCTCTCCCCTCTCCCATTCCTCTTCCCCCCTTCCGTCCTGTCCGGCAGGTGGCATGGGAAGGGCGCAGAGGCGGGCCCCGCGGTCAGCGTCCGGGCGGGGGCGGGTGCGATGGCGGGCAGAGGTCCACCCAGCCGGCAGTTCTCAACTGTGGCGACGCAGATCGGATGCGGCGATAAGGGGCGCCCAGGGGGGGCGTTTCACGTATCCGCCCGAGCTTTGCCGAAGGCATGGATCATCGGCGCCTTGGGATTCATGTATTGCTCTCTCCTGGGCTGTTCTCGGCGGGTCAAAAATGGGGTCCTGAGGCATGGGGTCCTAAGGACGAGGTGCCTCAAACAGCGTGAATCCACACTTGGAATCCTATCCTTAGGTCCCCATTCCCAAGAAACCCATCTTGGAAACATCGATATTCGCCCCCATCGCCGCCCCCGAGCAGAGGGTGACGCAGAGAGGGATTCGCCCCCCCGCCCCCCCTCCCGCGGAGGATCCTCGCCCCGTGGCGGCCATGTCGGCCGTGCTCCGCGCGCTGGCGCTGCTGATGGTGGCCCTGACGGGCACGCAGGCGCGGATGCTCGTGGGAACTTCGGGGAGGGAGAGGAGAGGGATGAGGCGCGCATGGGGTGGACGCCCGAGGGAGGAAGCAGGGACGGATTGGGATGAGGAGTGGTTGGAGGAAGGTGCGATACGACACAGTGGGGGCCCATGCCAAGAAACACCCTGCTTGCCTCCAGGATGCCCTGGATTGCTTGGGTTTCGGTGGTTTTGCTGTGGAAGGCGTGACGTTCCCACACCAAAAATCAATAAGACGTCCTGGGGTTTCAGGGTTGGCTTTCTTTTCCAAGGTTCCTCGTGGTCGGGCCTCCACTGTAAGCACACCCTTGACGCCATGATGTCTGGCTGTCCAGTGGGTGCTGTACTCATTCCGTGTTGAAATCGCGTAGCAGTGGTCGGGTATAGCCAGGACCCCAGATAAGTGGACCCGGTTTGTAGTGGAGCCCCGGAGCCCGCAATTGTACCAGAATCCGGTGTTTTCTCGGGTGACGGCAGTTCCGGCTCGTGGAACGGGGCGGGGGGGCGCCCCCCAGTACACATCATGAAACCAGGCCCCACGAAACCCAGTTCTGCCAAGGCCCGAAGTGGGCTCTGAGCTTCTGCGAGGCTGGCTGGAGGCGATCGTTGTGAGGAGCCTTCCCTTTGGAGCGAGCGCGTGCGCCGAGCGCTGCGCGCCGGGGCCGCAGACAGGTCCGCGCGCACGGTGGCCGTCCTGGCCCCCCTGGCCCCTGCAGCCACCGACGCAGGAGGTAGGCACTGGGAGCTCGCTCGATCCTCGATCCTCTCCTCCTCCTCCTCCTCCTCCTCCTCCTCCTCCTCCTCCCTCGCAGAGGACTCCTGGGGGGGCGGCGAGAGCGTGGTTGGGGCGTCTTGAGAAAGAGTGAGGGGCCCAGCCTCGAGAGAAGAAGACTGGGCCCAGAGCGGGCCCAAGTTGCACGGTCTGCCTTGCCGACATCCTCCAAGCCTTCGGCCTCAATGAAGAGTCGAGCGTTCTGAAGAGCAGGACGCAGACGAACTGTCTGACTGCTGAACTGTACCCCAGGGGGGGCCCTGTCGCGGACCTTGGGCGGGTCTTCAGCCTTCCTGCTCTTGGTTGACAAAGGTCCACTCCGATGGGCCCCCCTGGGGCAGTGGCGGACTTTTGACTTCTGTCCCCTTTCCTCCCCCCCTCAGTGGCGTGCGATCCTCCTCCCTCGCCTCCTCCTCCTCCTCCTCCTCCTCCTCCTCCTCCTCCTGGGTGGGAATTCTTCTGGTATCGCCTGCTGCTGCCTCGCAACCCGAAGGATGTTCCGGCTGCTGGCTGAGCTGGCAAACCTCTTGGGCCCTTTGTAGACCCCTCTGGGGGCCGAGTTTTCAGTTGTTGTCTCTGTGTGTCAGAAGTTGGGGGTGGAGGTGGATGAGGAGGAGGAGGAGGGGGAGGAGGAGGAGAAGGAGGAGGAGGAGGAGGAGGAGGAGGCGGCTCGGGAAACTCAGGCTCCGTCTCAGCAGAAGATTCGGAGAGGGAGTGGGTGGACGATTTCGGGTGGGCGATCGACGATTGAGGAGGAGGAGGAGGAGGAGAAGGAGGAGGAGGAGGAGGAGGAGGGCAGGGAGGCCCAGAGGCTAGCGCGAGCCTGGTAGAAGTAGGAGCCGTCCCGGTCCCCGTCAAGGCGGGAGCTGTGGAGGACGGCCCCACGCCCGCCTTGCCTCGGCATTGCCCAGCGCGTCCACGATCCACGATGGCAGTGCAGCGCGCTTGACGTGGACAGTACGAAACCGCAGCTGATTTTCATGATCGCAGGAACGTTTACCGCGACGCCTATTTCCCTCAATTCGCTGCCGGAGCTCTGGCTCTGAAAGAGGCGGAACTGATCGTGACCCGGATGATGAGAAAGGGCTGTATGAGACCCGGACAGCGCCATGCCCGCCTTGCCTCGGCATCGCCCAGCTCGTCCACGATCCACGACTGGCAGCGAAGGGGAGGAGCCGGAGCAGCAGTAGAGATCAACCAGGCCCAGGGCAGTGGCCAGTCTGCGCTCCCCCCTTCTCTTCCGCGCCAGCGGCTTCGTTGCACCCGGAAGGACATGGGAGAGGACGGCCCCTGCGGCAGGGCAGCCTTCCGACTCCCCCGTCCCATGTCGTTCGTCGGCGTCTTCTCACTGGGGCAGCGCTGCCGCGATGACGGGAAGCACAAGTGGCCTGGCGAAGGAGTGCGGCCGCGAACACCTCGAGGCAGGTGGGGAGACGGATGGGGGGTGGGCGGGGGAGCGATACGGGCCGGGGGGGCGCGTGCGATTCCTGCCGCTGCGGCCTTCGGTGGAGCTCCCTATGGGGCCGCGAGACGTGCGAGGGGCGTGCCACAATGGGCTGGGGTGGCGCATGTGATTCCTGCCGCTGCGGCTTCCGGTGGAGCTCCCTCCCTATGGGGCCGCGAATGGTGTGAGAGGCGTGTCACGATGGGCGTGGGGGCGCATGTGATTCCTGCCGCTGCTGCCTGCGGTGGAGTTCCCTATGGGGCCACGAATTGTGTGAGGGGGTGATGGTGATGGATGAGGAGACGCGGACGGCAGAAGCAGGAGGAGGGAGGGGGGGGAGGAGAAAGGAGGAGGAGGAGGAGGTGGAAGTGGAGGAGGAGGAGGAGGAGGAGGAGAGGAGGAGGAGGATGAGGAGGAGGAGGAGGAGGAGGAGGAGGGGGAGGAGGAAGAAGTAGTAGTAATAGTAGTAGTAGTAGTAGTAGTAGTAGTAGTAGTAGTAGTAGTAGTAGTAGTAGTAGTAGTAGTAGTAGTAGTAGTAGTAGTAGTAGTAGTAGTAGTGTAGTAGTAGTAGTAGTAGTAGTAGTAGTAGTAGTAGTAGTAGTAGTATTAGTAGTAGTAATAGTAGTGGTAGTATGTAGTAGTAGTAGTAGTAGTAGTAGTAGTAGTAGTAGTAGTAGTAGTAGTAGTAGTAGTAGTAGTAGTAGT